CTCGACTACGCCTGTTTGACAGCTTCAGTTACTGTTCAAGTCCAACATTTACATTAAAAAACGTATTATTGTAACACAGCATAAAACTAATACGCTGTTTAGTTGTGTCTCTTTGTCAGATCTCAGTTGCCACATTAAGCAAAACTCACATTTTCCCAAATTTAAACAACTCCTTTGGTAGCCGACACACGTAAAAGTCTCATATTTTTGTGAAAAGGTGCAAAGATTATTAAAAAAAACTACAAATTATTTGTTTTTTTCCATCATGACTGACTGCACTAAACCAGCAAACTGTATGTAAAGTAGTTAAAACTCACATTTCCCTTAAAAATACGTCCTTAAATCCGCTTTTAAAACGCTACAGACGCAGCAGATGGGTGTTTCATTTTTAAAATCAGATATGGTCTCACAGCTGGAGATAACAAACACAGATGTTTATCACTAAGTGAACGTGGAACATTTCAGGTTTAACAATAATCCTCAATATTCGATTAACGTGGAGGAGAATAAACGGGATTTGGTGTAAATGCAGTTTTGTTGGTGGAGTATTTGCTCACTTTTTGCCATGTTCTTAATGTCAAATCTTACATTTAATCTTTAAAAAAAAGGCTAAAGCTTGACATGTGGACACCCTGAACACCTCTGAACGCACTTTCACCACTTCACTCATCAGATTGTATGTTGAGTATTAAAAAAAAACAAAAAACTTTTCACTTCATAAAAACCACATTTTGCACCAAATGCTGCGTCTGAACCGCAGCCTGCTGATGTGTTAGCGATGAAATGGGCTGAACCTTTAAAAATAAGTCTGACTTAAGCAGCCTGAAGGAAAACTGAACCCTTTACGGCGACATCAGGAAGTCTTGGGTTCTATTAAGTTTTACAAAGTAAAAGCTTTGTGAAGCGAACGTTTCCACCGTGAAAGGTTTGTTGTTGTCAGTCCGGTGTGTTCAGTCACATCGCCAGCATGTCCTTTTCCTCGTCTTGGTTCCTGTTGCGTTCGTTTTAAAAGGAAAGATGGCAGAAGGCTGCGTCTTAAGCTGAGCTCTCAGTGGGTTAAAGCGTCTCCTAATCACACAGTAATGAGCTCACGGGGGACTTTTTATGATTCAGTTTAGAGTCATGCCAAATATTTGACCCGTTCACACAAAAACACACAAACAGAAAACGCTACGAGGCTGAATCCGATCCTCATGAAGCCTCTGTTTTCTCTCCAAGTCGCTGCCTTTAACTCTTTAGTTCATGCTTTTTTTTTTTAGCAAACTCAGTCTTTGTCTAAAAACCTAAAGACTGTTTTTATTCTACGAAACCCGTCACCTGCACTTCTGAGCAACACCTTGTTTTGGTTTTTTTAACTTTCTGTCTGCTCGAGTGTTTATAGACGGCGTTGTGTAATTTCTTCCTCTTGCTTTTTGATTAAATATCGGTTTGATGAGTTAATGCTGCGAGAAAACAGCAGCTTGACAAACATCAGTGATTAAACCGGCGGCTCGTGTTGCTGTTACAATAAACATGGCGACCGGCCGGGGCGTGTTTGTGCAGCAACGTGACACCAGAGCAGAAGCTACACAGAATATTTCTTCATCCAAAGCAGCTCCAAGATCAGTTTTTGTATTCGCTGCGATGTAAAACTCATTTTATTTTTAACTTAGGTGCAACCAAAACCCTTTATCGCATTTTTTGGTCATTCCTTAGTACCTCATGTCGATGGTTTTACAGTGAGATAAACGTGCAGATGCATTTTTTTTGGCACTTAAGTCATTCTTTTTTACATGCATGACAAAAAATAGCTCTTATTGGCTGAATTAAAGGAACATTTTATTATCATTTCTGACCCGCTTCGATTGTTGGCGGTAAATGTGGCGTCAAAGCATTTTGTCATATCTCAGTCACGCTAGCTAACCGCTAGTCTCCGCTCGGTGCAACTCAGACAGGTTTGTGGCTTTAAAAAGAGGAAATTGGGGCGCTGTAATGGAAGGCTGACCTCGTTTGAACAGACAGACGTGCTGAATGTCAGACCGACTAAAACGTCTGACTGAGCTGGACGCGTTGCCCTATTGAGCCGTGCAAAACAATCACAGTTAGCTTTAGTTGCACTAAGTTTATTAAAAGAGGCTCATTGTCTTGCAGGCTGATTGTTCCAAAAGATATCATCAGCAAACCATAAGTTACATGTTTGGGGAACTCCTGTGGCAGAAGTTCTTCACAATAACCTCCTGATCAGCATAAAAACAACCTGCTACACGGTTAGCTGGTCGAGTTAGCCTCTGTGATATCTGTGGTCACGTCAAGTGTCGGCTCAGAGGAATCGTCAGCAGGCTGGAGGCTGCAGAGGATCGATGCCACTGGGTGTAGCGATCAGCTGATTTGCTGTTTTCCCCCGACAGACTGTTAAACAGCCACACAAATCAATAAAACACCCTCAGCCTGGATTAATCAGCGTCCCATAAACACAGCAGCGTCTGTTGTGAACCCGCTGAACGGCTCTCTTTAGATATTTCAGCCACGCCGAGCTACAAAGAGTTTCTGTTCGACATCGACGACACCTGCAGCCGGAATCCAGTTTCAGGATCGACTGATGTTGTTTCTGCGCTGATCTTTATTTAAAGTAGATTTCTGCCCTCCTGTTCCATCAGTGTGGCTCATGGGGAGGATAGTTAGCAGATGTGTGGCTCAGTGCTCTTCTGTAAAGAGGCGTTACACCAATTTTACTCGTGGAAGTCGGTAAAACAGTTAGTCGTCCTCAGCCTGTGAAAACGGCAGCACAACGTCTCTAACTGCAGGAAAAGAGAGTTTTAGCTCCTAAGAAAGTTCCTG